ATATGAATCTTGATCCATATTTGACCCGTCTATTTACCACCCCTAATTTTGACCCATCCAATCCTTTTGAGTTGCATCTAATGACTATGTACTATATTAATATGCCTATTTAAAATATTTAGTGCATTTGACTAATGCAATAACAATATTTCCTCGTCTTCCACTTTCTTGTCATTAGTGCGATTCTCACATGTGATCAATGTTTTAAAGTTTGTGCCTTGTGGAGGAGTTGAAAATATATTTTGAGTATTCAGGGGGAAAAGCATTATGGCATTTGTCACGCTCTTTTTCAAATTTAACAAATTTTGAGTCTAAAAAATAATGCACCTATTACATGATCACGATGTTGACCATATGTAAAACGGTCTCGACTAGAAATATCAGCTTAAAATAAAATTATACAAGTCAGTTAAATTAAAAGAAAAGAAAATGTAAAAATTAAAAAAATATATATGACATGTTTGATTTATAATTTTAAAAATAATTATCATAAATTTTAAAAATAATGAACAATTTTCAGAAAACTATAAAAATCGGTTATCTAAAAATAGATCTTTTTATAACTGATTTTTTATAAAATAATTTTTAAAAAATTGAACCAATCAGATTTTTTTTCTTTTTTTTTTCATATTTTTTAATTTTCAATTTTTGAACAAAAAACTATTTTTATAATTACAAATCAAGTAATTCATATAATTTTTTTTCTTCATATTTAATCATTATTGACTCACCTAAAATTATATTGTGAAATTCAACAAATCTGTGGGCCCCACCATCCAGAATTTGAAACAAACAACATTTCTAGTATTACTTAATTTTGCGAACAAAGTGATTAGTATTACTGTATCAGTAATGGACAATAATCTCCATTCACATTAAATTTTTTAAGCTGATTCAATCTAGAGAGAGTGTGGATGATTCAAATTTAGTTACATCCATATAGAATCAACAACCACCGCAACAAATTAAGTTGACCAAAAGAGAGAGACGGACAAATCACCGGTTCCACGCGGAATGGTTGTGTTGGCAGTACCCGAATACAGCCAAAACAGATCGGCAAATCGGTTGGAGGGAAACAACCTGGGCCCCAATGATTGGCAACACACCAAGCGGCTCCTCCTCCTCCTCCTCCTCCTCTCTCTCTACTTACATAATTGGGCCATTGGGTGTGAGAGAGATAAAAAGTGTTCCCCATGTTTCCACAAGAAGCCCAATCACACACAGTAGACACACACCACTAGACAATAACGACAGCGGACACTACACAGTAAGCACCGTCCGAGTCATTTTGGTCCCTGTACCCAAGACCTTGCAACCAAGTCGGTGGGTCTTAGCCAGCTGTACTGACTGTACTGGTATCAACTGCCCAACTGCTTCCGGATGAAACGACATCGTAGGCCCACCACAAGCATCCAAATTACCTTTGAATTGCGGCCACGTGGGCGGCCATTGTTTTCATCATGACATTTATTTCTGTTCACACTAACACGAGTGACATATATATATATATATATATATATATATATATATATATATATATATATATTTTAAAGTAGGATAATAATTCTGAGAAAAAACAAAGCATTATAGCCCCGACGAAGGGTAAAAATAACTCGAACTCAGTCCAACATTTTTGTGAAAACTTGAGTTGAACTCAATATCAGGTTAAAATGATGAAGATATTTTTATTAATAGAACTGTTATAAAATTGTTGGCAATAAAAATTATGTTACGTGTTTGGTAACTCATTTAATAAAACACTTTCATACTTAAAAGCGGTAATAATGTTATTTAAAATACTTTTATTATTAATTTTAATATCAGATATATACTAATAACGACATTGTATGATATTAATGTGGGTAATTCATTCACACAGCATGATTGTTGGTTAACATTGCATGATTACGGGCTATAAAACTAATTTAAATACATGGTACAATTAAAAAATAGTTTAAATTTTTTACTCTACGCATGCTATAGTATCTGTGTGGCTTATTAGATGATTACAGTTTATAAAAATAATTTAAGTATTCGTTACAACGAAAAAATAGATTAAAATTTTCACTACACATAATATAGTGTCTGTGTGGCTGATAAGATATAATGCATTTAAAATTTTCACTCTACACATAATATAGTGTCTGTGTGGCTGATAAGATATAATGCAAACAATGACAGTCATGAAGATCAGTGAGAAATAAATTTGTATTTATAAAAAAAAGTGAGGGATTATATTGTAAAAAAAAAAAAAAAAAAAAAAAATAGTTACCTAACTCTATCTTGTACTCAATTTCAAAAGATTGATTTTCTGGCTTCATGTAAACCAAAAATTTCTAAAAAAAAAAAATCCTACTTCTAAATCCACAAAATATAAAAGAAAAGGTGTATAAATTTTTATTAATTTCACTTTTTATATCTTCTTTTAGTTTTTACCTTTTAATATAGGAACACACTCATATAGCTATGTATATATTAAATCACATACAATATGGGACAAAACATTTGATGATGGAGATAACAAAAATCTGAATATGACAAATGAAACTAAGCATTTTACGAAGAAAAAGATTAAGGTAGATAGAATAGTGACAAAAACAATGTGATGATATTAACTCATACCATTCAAATCGTAAAATAATTTTTCTAAAAAAATATTTTCATGCTAAGCTAAAAACATCATTTTCTTTTCATTTATTTCAATTTCCTTTATTTTCATTTTTGCTATTACTAGTAATTTTTATTTTTTTAATCAAATCAAAGTTATCGAACGGACCAACCTGATAATTGAGGATCTATGAAGCACGGACACTCCTCTTAAGGACTCCGTACTCATGTCGGATACTTTTCGGACACTGACACTCGTGTCCGAGGCTCGGACACGTGTCCAATACTTCTGTAAAGTGTTCAAATATTATTTTTTATTGGACACGCGTGTCCGAGGCTCGGACACACGGTCCGACACTTCTGTGAGACAAAATTTATTTTCTCTCACTCCTCTCACTCTCTCCTCTTCTTCAATTAACTCTCTTCATAAACAAGATATATATATATAAGTTATATGAATAAAACTTTGTGAAAGACTAAAAGTATATATGTTTATTCATATACATATTTAGTTCATTATAGTTATGTCTCTTCTGCACCTCTTCTTTTGGAATTTAGATCAACTTTATTTTTCATTTATTTTCTGTTTTGTCTTGTCTATATTTTTCTTATAACAGAGATGAAATTATTGAAATTGATTCTGTTCTTTATTGTTGTTTTATTTTTCTGTACAAGATTCTAGTAATTATATTTTGAATATATAATTATATATATATATATATATATATATATAATTTTATAGGCGTATTCCCGCCGTGTCTGTGTCCTATTTTTTTAAAATTTGTCGTGTTATCGTATCCTTATCGTGTCGTACTTGTGTCTCGTATTCGTATTCGTACTCCATAACGGAAGATAATTGTATTGCGATCCACAAAGGCAATTGGGACCAAAGCCATTCATGTGATGAAATCATAAAACCCTATGAAGTCAAAGCAATTCAAACCCGTATCACGTGAGATTCGTCCAGGCTGTTAGTGGGGGCCATCCTACGTGGAAGACGTTGAAGTCATCTTAAACCGGTTATTTTAAGGTCTGGCTTTTTACACAGGTTCGTTCGAAACGGTTGATCAGGGCCGTTGATTGGAGTGACTGAGGATATGGATTTGGACTCACAGCTGTAAGTCTGCAAAAGTAGTCAAAAAGTGATGGACCCACTTGATGTTTGAAAACGTTTGTTATATGCGTGTGTGTGATGAACAGCTCTCGCTTTACTGTCATGTTTTAAACGCTCCTGATAAGATTGAGAAAAAGCCCGTACGAGAATGATTTTATTGTTATATTTTCTTTCCAGATTGGCTCGTCTTGTGTGAAATCTCGTTATTACCCCCACATTTTGCAGTCCCAATTAATTATTGGTTAAACAACAAAAGAAAAAAAACAGAAGGGAAAAAAAAAAAATAATAATAATAATTAAAGCGGACCACTCATTCTGTCAATTTCAAAATATATATATATTTATTTTCAGCAATGATCGATTTAATGTCATCAATTAGGAGAGATTGCAATAACAAGTCACAATCTTGCTACATCCCTTCAATAATAATAATAATAAATAAATAAATAACTAATACGAGTACAATAAAAAAACAGAGATAAATTATATTATTTCTTTTTTAATTGTTTGAATGGAGACTAATTTCTGCACAGAAAAAATTAATATTAATAAATTATTAAGAGTCACTTTCATCGTGAGAAGCTTTTTTAATTATTGAATACGAATCGTATATGACTCATTTTTAATTTTTAAGCATGAATGATATTTTGTCAAATTGTAATCTCGTAAATTTGATAAGATATGACATAAAATACGGTTCTTGGTTTATGTCCCATCTAACTTAGCTGTGTTTTATTATGGATTAATTATTTACTTACCTATTTTTTGTTTAATTTTAATTTTAGAGAATTAACTTTATGTAATCAACGAAAGTACATATGTGCATGTATATACGCACAAACATAATACATGTACCAGCACTAAAAAGCAAATTATGGTTGCATTAAACTCAAACTTACAGTAAACTGGTTCAATGAACCCGTACCACAACTGTTCAGGTGCTTTCTTGGCCTTAGTTAAAAGTTCTGCTAAAACCGTCTTGTCTCTCGCATTTATCGCAGAGCCCATAATCGTCATTTCACGAGTAGCGACAAAAACAGAACCAGTCGCGCCAAATCTGCTCATCACTGAAGTAATCCGAAATATATAAAAGAGGGTGCGCATCTACGCACCCGTTCCGGTTAGAACCCCTACCAACTTTACACAAGGTAGGTTCCAAGAACTTACCGCTCTCCTCTTACCAAAAAAGCAAACCGCCTAGTGCATGCACCCTCCCTCTCACTTTCTCTCTCTCTCTACAAATATATACACACACGTATAATCTCCCTCGCTCTATATATAAACCCACTTGCTCACAACTTCACTCAATCAAGCCAATTATTCAATCACAACCCCACTCCCTCTCTCTAAAGACTGTCTTGCTCTTTCTCTCTCTAAAATGGAAGCATTCAACATGTGCTCGTCTTCTAGTTCTTCGTCATCCGATTCGTCTTCGTCTGAGTCGACTCAGAGAGGGGTGAATAAATCCGAGAGAATAAAAGGTCCTTGGAGTGCAGAGGAGGACAAGATCCTGACCCGACTGGTGGAGCGATACGGGGCCCGAAACTGGTCTCTGATAAGCAAATACATAAAGGGTCGGTCGGGCAAGTCGTGCCGTCTACGGTGGTGCAACCAGCTGAGCCCGAGCGTGGAGCACCGTGCGTTCTCTCAAGCCGAGGACGAGGCGATCTTAGCCGCCCACGCCAAGTACGGCAACAGGTGGGCCACCATTGCCCGCCTGCTCCCGGGTCGGACCGACAATGCGGTCAAGAACCACTGGAACTCCACCTTGAAGAGGAGACAATCACAGATGAACATAAACCCAACGGACGGTTGTGATGGAATGATGAATGTGGCTGCGGGATCTTCTTCATCTGTGTATGATGAGGAGTCCGACCCAATGACGGCGTTGTCACTTGCGCCGCCTGGGGTGGGTGGCTGTGGGTTGCCGGAGAGGCGGCGGGAGGAGACCATGCCGGCGGAGTTTTGGGATGTGATGAGGGGTGTGATAGCGAGGGAGGTGAGGGAGTATGTGATGTCATCGTTCTCGGCAGCTTCCGGGTTTCGTTAATGATAATGTGCTGGTTGTGTATTTTTTATTAAAAAATTAAGTTTGTTGTTAATAGTATCTGTTTTAAATATAAAATTATTAAAGGTCTGAGCTGGAAGGTTTTTCAAGACATGAACTTCTTGTTCACTTAACCAGTTGAGCCTATCTCATTAGCCGCATGAAATGGATTAGATTGGATCTTAAAATATTTGTTTTATTGGTTTTTAAATTTTGGAACATATAAAAAATATTTAATTTTAAAGATTAAATTATAATTAACATGCTTGCTGGTTAAGATATGGTATAGTAATATGGTAGGAAAAGCATCTTCCTCAAGTGCTTTTACTTTTCAAAGATTTAAATTCCAATGATTAAAATATGCACCACTCTACTGTGTTGTAGTTTCAATGTTTCATACACAATTTTATTCCAACAAAAATGTGCTGATTTATTTATTTTTTTTTTCTATATTTTTTATTTTATTATTATTATTTTTTGTAATCATGAGATGTGGGAAGAGAAAAAAGTTTGGAGAAAATGGTGTCTGATATGATAATGTTTGTATGTCCACCATAGAAAAAATTAAATTGATATGAATTGCTTAGTAGAAATAAAATGAAATTATTATTATTATTATTATTATTATTATTATTATTATTATTATTATTATTACTATTATTTGTTTTTCTTTTTTGTTTTATAAAACCACTGAGGGAAAAATATATGGGTAAAAGATAGAAATAAAAATGAGACAATTATTTTAGAAGGTTCTTATTTGCACAATGGTATTGCTACTGTGACAATAAATACCAACCCTTATATCAATCTCTAACATGGGACTAAAAAAAGTATTAATGATATCTAATACGAAAGTATTAAAATCTAAAATAATTTTTAAATTTTTTTATTAGCAATACACATTTACGCACCACACTTTCAAAACATATTACGCTCTCAGTTTCAAATTAAATGTTCACATTTTTATTTTTGGTTGTCTCAAAATAAATGTCCTTTTTTAAAAGTGAAAGTACCATTTTTTGCAATATTACCAATTTAATCTTCTTACATTTTTTTTTTTTTGTCCAAAGGCAAATTGTTATTATTGCAAAGGGCACAAAGGCCAAGCCAAGAATGGCAACACAGAGGCGTAAAGCCAAGCCAGAAAAAGACAAACAAAATCTGAAGCAAAATAAGAAAAATGAAGACCAAGCTCCAGATCGGCTGAGAAAGAGCCACCGCTCGACAACGGAAACCACCAAGGGAGAAGAGTAGCAACTAGAGGGACCCAAAGGTCAGGCCATCATCCAGGCAACAACGCCAAAGCTGCATCCACAAGGTGCCGCCACACACCCAAACCCCGCGCAAGACAAAGCAAGTCAGGGACAACCAAATCCGACATAGATCAGAGATCTAGCCGGACAGAAAACAACCGATCTATCCCGTTTGGCCGGAAACAAACCAAACAGAAGCAGATCTAGCCACACAAAAGCAAAAACGGGGTGAAAACCTCCCACAAAACGAACTTATTGAGACACGCCGAAATTATTCACATGTGGGAGGCAAACAAACGGTCCTCCCCACTCCCATGGAAGGGAGCAGGGAGGCAGAGAGATGAAGAAGACGAAGGGGGTATAGAGAGAAAGTTAGAGAGAGGTGGGAGATTTAATCTTCTTACATTGAACATATAAAATGTAAACCATCACATCCTATGAATTCACTATGGACAAATTTAATAATTCATTTACTATCAGTGCAACAAAAAATATTAAAACCTATTCTATTAAAAAGTTAGATTATCAAATATGGATAATTAATTTGAAAAAGAGGGAATTTTAATGTGTAAAAGTAGCAGGCACGGAATTGTAAAAGAGTGATTAATTAGAGTATTTCCAGCGATCTGTTAAAAAATTATTTTGTGTAAAATATACACTGCCACATATGATTATTTCATCTGCAGCAATTTGTTAAGATACACTGCCACATCACCCATGTGTAAAAGGATTGTGTATTTTACACAGCACTTTTACACTGCCATATAAGCATATTTTCTCTCTCCTCCCCTTTTCCACTCACGATTCTCTTTCTTCTCTCCCATTCTTTTAAAGTTCTTTGTTTTCCACTTTTCTAGAGTGCAATAGAGAAGAATCTATAACTAGTGGCAATATAAGAATACCATCTTTTATTTATTTATTTTTATTTTTAATAAATATAGTTTAATTCATCACTTTCGTTTGATCTTATCTTTTGCAATCATACAGTAGATTATAGGGTTTTTAAATTTTTTTATCCTTTTACATTATATATTGTAATGAGATAAATATGTACTAACTAAGATTAGATATATATTTTAATCACATAGTTTCTACATAGTTGAATCTTATTTTATTATTTGTTATAAGTCAGAGGAAATTATTATTTTTTTGGCCTTGGGTATAACACATGGTTGGTTGTTATTGGGGGATAATTTTTTACACAAAAGGTATCAAACAACCGCTGGAGTTAAAAATAATTAGTGCAAAATTTTTGTGTAAATCTACTCTGACATATCAAATTTACAAAAAAATAAATAAATAAAAAATAACAGACAATTAGAAACGCTCTTAGATTCTATAGTATTACCATAAATGAAATTTGGATTGAAAACTCAGGGCATAACGTTACTTTTCATGCATTTGTACTGTAAATTCGATATACATGAAACATTCACTGATAAAATTTTGTCCTAATTCATTTTGTCTGTGTGAAAAGCAATAGTGCTCACACTATCAGAGAGATAAAAGTGTCCTCAAAGTCTCTCTTGCCGGGGTAGAAATATTACCCCATTGTTTGGCTTTGGGTAAAAATACAAAAATGGTATAGAAGTAAACACGGTTATATGTACTCTACTGAATGCGTACACAAATTATAACATCTTAAGTAAGACTTGAACTCTCAACCAATAAAAAAACACGCCACTTGAACTAGTGGTTTGACAATATGAACAATTCGATCTACATGATGTTGACACGACATGTAAAGGATTCATTAGAAAATGAAAATGAAAATAAAAATGTCAAATGAAATACAGCACAGCACTGTGCTATACAAAGAAAAATGCAACTTTCATCACTCTGGTCGTGTAAAAGGTGAACCCTAATTAATCCATTGAGGACTGGTGGGCTAAACGCCAAATGCCAACCCTTTTCAATGGGTGGGAGAGCAATATGTGGTGGGACACAAGGCATCTTGTCTCATTTTGAGTTCCTCCAAGTCATGTCCCCCTCTCGATGTATCCAATGCAATTAAGGCATGCATCGTGCACGAATTAAACATGACCAGAAAAAACTTTCCCCATGTAGGCATTTTTCATCCACCTAAAAATGTTAGGCATTTTCTTTTTCATAGTTGATTGATAGTCAATAGAATATGACCGTGAAACTTGATAAGATTTGTGCTTTGTGGAGGAGCTAATGCCAACATAAGCTTCCAAAACTACTACAATGTTGGTGTTGATAGGAGTGATATCAAATTTATTTGTGCTATGCAATGTAGACAGACTCATTTTTAAAAGAATAATGCTACTCTAAGTCCATAATTTAGGCATGAAAAATTAGTTGAAAGGCTTTTATGCTCTTGTGCTTCCCACTTAAACATATCTAACATCAAATAAGATTTTGAATTATCTTCTAGACTTAATTTTATTTTATTTTATTTATTAATTTTTTTGTCATTTGCAAGAAACTAACACACACTACACACTCATTTAAGTTCTTTGTAAACTCGAATCCTCACCATCTATTTTAAAAGATAGATGAGAGATCATTAGACCACATGTCCTCATAAATTATTGATTCAAATATCAATTTTTTTTCTCTATAGTTATAATTATTATAAAGAATCATTACATAAAGACAAAAAATATTAAAAAATTAATTAAATGATACATTAATCGGCCTCCCTTTAAATGCGGTTGGAGCGTTATGAGCCACATCATTCCAGAAATCATACATCCGAATTGTAATTACTGACACCATTTCATAAAAATATTCTAGTTTGGTAAGACATGAAACACACAAAATTTCGATTGTGAAATGTTTTTTTTAAAGTTAACTCGGGGTGTCCGGGCTAGCTTGAACTCTTAGGGCCCCTCAATAATGCGACTAATTCTCGAAAATTCGGAAGAGCGTCTTCCCACCTGGACTGGGTAAGTCACTGCAGGGGCAGTTGAGGCTAGCCACAAAGAACATCTAGTGGGACTCGAACCCCAGACCTTGGGCTGACTAAGCTCTAAAGTCCAAGTAAACCACTGGGCCATATTCGAAGTGGATTCCGATTGTGAAATGTTAATTTTGAAGTAAATGTGAGTTGCGCAAGGCGGAATGGTAATGGAATAAAGAGGTATAATTAATCTAAAAGAGGGTGAATAGGTTCAACTTGTTATTTTATCCAATTTTTCCTCAATATTAAATTTACCAAAATAAAATAAAATTAATCAACCCACAAAACAAAAGTAAAGTGCAAGTAAAATATAAGTAGAGTTAGAGTTTGACACCGAAATTTTAGCGAGTAAACTCTAATTAGAGAAATTCATCCAATTAAGAGAAAAATCTTAGAGACTGTCATGTGGTCTCGAGCGAAACAAAGTATAATGGATTTCGATTCATACTCACGCCCTCTCTGCTCTACAAAGAACCAATTATTGAACGTTTTCGACTTTACGACTCCCCTGTCCAAATGTTCATGAATTTAGGAAACAACTTAAAATCACTCTTGTATATAGTATGTGTACTCTAAAGATGAAAATAAAATGCACAAAAATATATTACAAATTGACTCTCTTAAGGTTGCTGAAAATTGTATTCAAAAGTCGTAGAAAACCCTAGGTGAGAAAAAAAAGTGTTTCTAGATATAAATTTTGTAGAGACTTAAAACAACTCGGAAAACAAAGTTGAATCTGTATAAAATCGTTTTTAAAAAATCTGATAAAAAATGAAACCAATTCTTTACCAAAATATGATATTAGGAAAGTGAAGCCTGTTGGGCTTAAAGTGCAACCTGTTGTACTTTTTCAGATTTCAAAATTTTCACCAATAATATGTTTTTCCCTAAATCCTAACTCACAAAACCTAATATAAGGTATCCTTATTCAACATATCTTTTCTAAATGAAGTTCTCATCGAATCGAAGCATGCGTGCACTTGTTGTTCCGCT